TCCTCCTCGTACCCAGTGGAGCCTCCGGCGGCCAGTCTACGGTCTCCGCCAGGCACCCCGTGAGTGGCACGACACACTGAGGACTACACTTGCGGCTCTTGGGTTTGCTCCTTCTACAGCCGACCCGTCGCTGTTTCTGCGCACCGACACCTCTTTGCCGCCGTTCTACATCCTCGTGTACGTAGACGACTTGGTCTTTGCCACTGCTGGACTCGCCCACGTGAATTCGGAGCTGCAGAAGAGACACACGTGCACTGACCTGGGTGAACCGCGCAGCTACCTTGGCTTGGAGATCACCCGGGACAGAGCACAACGCACCATTACCCTGACTCAGTCACACATGGTGCAGCAGGTCCTTCAGCGCTTCGACTCTACGTAATCCTCGCCTCAGGCCACTCCTCTGTCTACTCGCCACTCGCTCTCAGCTCTGCCTTCATATGAGTCCGTAGAGCCGAGTGGCCCGTACCCAGAGCTTGTTGGCTGCCTCATTTACCTGATGACCTGTACACGACCTGACCTTGCATACCCTCTTAGCATCTTGGCACGCTATGTTGCTCCTGGGAGACACCGACAAGAGCACATGGCTGGAGCGAAGAGGGTGTTGCGCTACTTGTGCAGTACGTCGGTCATGGGGCTAGTGCTTGGAGGGCGATGTCGAGTGGTCCTCACAGGTCACGCTGACGCTTCTTGGGCTGACGACCAGGCTCTGCAGCGGTCGTGACAGGGTTACACCTTCAGCCTTGGCTCCGGCTGTGTTTCGTGGCGGTCTACCCGCTCGTCTTCTGTTCTCAGCTCCAGCTGTGAGGCTGAGATCTACGTGGGGGCCATGGCTACACAGGAGCTATGCTGGCTCACCTACCTGCTGACCTGACCTAGGAGAGCCGCCTCGTTCTCCTCCAGTTCTGTACGTAGACAACAAGGCCATGCTGGCCTTGTGTCGGGAGCACAAACTGGAGCACAAAGCGAAGCACATTGCTCTTCTCTACTTCCTTGCTCGTGAGCTGCAGCAGCGTGGTCAGCTGCGCCTTGCTTACGTGGCCTTTGAGGCCAACACTGCTGATATCTTCACAAAGGCACTTCTGCCTTGTGATCATCAGCGCTTTTGTACGTTGCTAGGTCTTGTGCCTACTTGGCCTCACTTGCTCACTTCTTGACCTTGCTTGTACTGTGATCTTTTTATACCTGCACTTGCTTGTTTACCTATATATATCTGATCTTGCATGTGAACTGGCCTTATGGCCTTTGCTCTTGTGCTCGGACTGTGTGGTGACGTTGTGATCCACCCTGAGCTTGTTTCGCTTTGCTTGACTGGTCTTGTGACCTCTTGTTCTCCCCCACTTTGCCTATGGGGATGTGTCAAACTCTTATACTATGGTCTGTGTAGGTTGTAGTGGGGCAGACTATATGGGGTACAACACTTCTAGGTTTTCCTCTTTGTACCCACCTGCTTGCTAGTTCATTGATTCCTCATTCTTCACATGGAGACTTCGGAGGCTCGGAGACCACGAGGCTTGAAGTTTCGGAATAAGTGCTTGAGACTAGGAAACTCGAGAATTTCAGACGCCTCAGGAGTCACGGACGCAGTTTCGCGTTTCAACGAAACGATGAACGATCCTAATCGCAGGGCTCGGCTGCTTTTGTCGGCGCGAAAACGAACCGCGAAACTAAGTTGCACTGAGAAACGTAGGCATCAAGTCGCTATCTATAACATCTGAGGACTCTCAGGAAGGCTAATATTCGGCCGTAAAGGTTCTCCGGAAGCTACTAATTGTTTGTACAAACGACCGTACTGCAGCGACGACGGCGAAACGACAGGCTGGAAGTGGTAACCAACGGGTAACTACTTGACCACGCGGTTACATATTGCACAAGACGTTCCAAACGGAAAGGTAATTGGTCGCTTAGCGCAATGCGATAAATGCGGAAGCTTGTTCCGGTCTGCAACGGGGATACGAGCTTGTGATTGTAACGAGCGGTAAGATTCCTTACAGCACTGACAAAACACGATCGCAACAAGCGCTACGTTGATACCTTATATCGAAGCTAAGGAACTAGCGCAACGCGAGAAGCGGGTGTCGCGATGGCGGCCGTGTCGAAAGACGGGAAAGGCCCTGCGGATAAAAGCGGCACGCCATAGCGCAATATGCGGACAGCCATGGCGGTTTTGGCGGGAAAGATTCCTGGAGAGTGTCACCAATAGGAAAATCGCTATTGAAAGCTTCGGTTAAAGACTGTGCACATCTAATTCAAGCATGTATTCCACTAACCCTTAAAAGTAAATACAACGCTTCCTTGTGCGAGGTACACCCTTATGCTATACTCCTCTTCATGCTTTTCACGAATGCTAACGACCTCACCCGACAAGTGTCGCAAGACTTGGCAGCGCGCGATGGCTGCTTGTCCAATGACAGGAAGCCCTCACGGGTCATTGTAACCTAGTGTTGGGAAAAACAGACCGTGGTCTCGCCTGCACGCCACAGTGTATTTCATCAGTGGACCTGTCCGAAGCTGGCTCGCCAGTTCAGTCCTCGCCTGGTCCAGCGGACCAGACCACGGTTTTGGGGAGCAACATTTCCAAGAGCGGACCGGCTCGCGGACTCCTGTAAGTGAGACACGTCCTTAGCTTGGCTCGGTGTGATTGTATTATGGTTTGGGTTTTGGCAATTGATTCCGATTTCGGGCATTTCGTTTTTTTTCGCCAAACCCAGCCAACCCGCGTATTTCGCCCTGGGTGTTGTGGCAGCTCCCCAAAGTCCCAAATTGCAGGTGCGTTGACTTTCAAAGCTTGCACACCCCACTTCGTAAAGTTTAAAAAACTTGGGCGTTGTTCGCCAGCACATCTAAAAAAATGAAGGGTTTGGAATGGCTGTGGGATCAGAAACCAGAGGAGGAACCTCTCGAATAGGTATGGGGGGGATGGCCAAATCGCGAAATTTCGCGTCAGAAAGGGGGAGGGTGGCAACGGGATCAGGAACCACCCTCCCCATCTTCCAAATCCCCGTCCCCACCCTCTACACCCTTCGAATCCCATGGCCATCCCAAGGCGATTCTGGTAGGGGGGATGAATGGCGATGGAATGGCGACGGGATTTGCGTTTGCCTGTAGAGGAAGCTCCCAACCCACTTTCCTATCCTCACAATTCCATTTGAAATTAATGAAAAAGAGGGCGTTCGACAGGCCAACATGATTCTGTTTGGTTCGGACGGAATCATAGGTTCGGCAAGAATTTCGCGGGCCGTCCTGATTGCCTATTTCATCCTATGTCGAAATCAGCAGGCACAATCGAGAAATAGGCAAAAGAGGGTTAGCACTAGCAGAGAGTTGAGTACATATAGGAAACCCTAATCGAGCTGTACTCGCTATAGAGTACCCCACAAACATCACATTCTGACAACCCTAGGCCCCTAAACTATTATGTTTGATAGAGAGTGAGTGTGCGGAACAGGATTGAATGTCACATTCGAGTGTGTGTGCGACTGGACCTGAGGCAAGGCGATTGCCCTGTGCGGGCGGTGGGATCGTTCGAGCGACGGGGGGAGTGTGCGATGGATCTAGTGAGAGATGCGAATGAGGGACAGATGACGAGCGTCGGAGAGGGAAGGGAAGCACGGGAGGGAGGCGCACTACAGCAGGAGCGAATGCGAGATGGAAGCGAGGCGCGAGACGGAAGGGACGGAGGGTGCTGGGCGATGGCAGGGACGGGGGTGGACTGGACGATGGACGGAAGGCACGAACGGGACGGGAGTGAGGGGCACGGCGACTACGACAGACGCGACGAGGGCGACGGGAAGAGCAGGATCGACGAGAGCCAGAGGAGAGACGGGACCTACGGGTGCAACTGGAGTAGCGGGTTCGGCGGGACGACGGATTAGATGGGGTGTGAGATATATTTGCGAGTACCGCGAGAGATCCGATGAAATGGGCGTTAGCGGGTGACGGTGGAGACCTATACTATGCAAACCGACGGACGTCGCAATACAAAATCTTGGGTGACGCCAGCAGTAGTTATCGAAAGACGATATTGTGGGCTACTGAGCCTACTAATCAACGAGTCTAGAAAGGTAGCTTCAAGCTTCAAGTTTCGGAAACTGTAAACAGTGGCCCCAGTTCTTGTTTGTTTCCGCGGGTGTCGACGGTGGTGTTGCTGTTGTGCTTTTGGCCAATCATATTATTGCGCTTCAAATAGGGCCTCTGATTCGTTTTGGGGCACGCTGACCACTCAGTTTCGCCCAAAGGCCAAACACTGATTTTCAGTGTCGTCGTATTAATAACGCTGATTTTCCAGGGTACAGAAAATAAAAACGCTGAACAATCAGTGGTGTTATTCATTGTTATACTGATTGTTACCTTCTGTACTCAAGTCAAGAGTTTTGGCCTTGAGAGGAATCTGGTCAATTATCGCTCATAGGCTCAATCCCGCTCGGCAAAGATGCACTAGGTGTCATACTTGACTAGACTGCCTGCCTATGTAGCAAGTCACGGGACCGATTATGGCCAAGGGGAGATGAGAGAATCACGGAATTTTCAGTTTCAGGGTCCACCCCAATACAACACTGACTCGTCAGTGTCAATCACAAAACACTGGAAATTCAAAGTTAGAAATAAAAAAACACTGAAACATCAGGGTCGTTTAAAAAAAAGGGCTGAGACATCAGGGTCACGATAAAACAAGGTCAAACTTCAGGAATTCAGGGTAAAAATCCTGACTTCCGAGGCTCTGGCTTCAAACACCTTCAAAGTGGATCGCGAAGGCGCCCCACACAAAGGCGGGTTACCGTGTTCACTGGCGAAATCATGTTCAAGAATCTTTCCCATTCTAGACTCAGGCTTTAATGCAACCAGGATAATTCTAGTCACAATCCCAAGAGCTCCTCACAATGTAACAGCGAACTTCTTCAGAGGCACACTGGAGGCACAATCCCAGTGTCATTCTATATTTTCACTGCAATTCGATAAGCACTGACTTGTCTCTCCTGTTGTTCCATGTTCAATGCACTGCTCTACACAAAGAGCAGTGAGGTAAGCGCAACAGCAATGGCAGCGGCCACCACACTGACAGGTGGAGTGACAGAACCTGACAAGAGGAGAGCAGGTGGAGTGAAGAGTCACATCAGAGCAATAGCAAAGAACTTGTGGAATCAAGTGAAGGGTGGGAGAAGGGCATGTGATTGTCTGGGAAGAAAGGGGGAGGGTTGGGGGGAGGGAGGGAAGGGGAGCGGGAACAAGGAAACGAGGGGAAGCAGGGGTACGAGGGGTGACATGCGGAGGTCACAGTTGCAAAAAACGAAAACAGTAGTGAAAAAATCCAAAGTAGAAAACATACCAGAAGGCTTAGGTGGTGGTGGTGAGGTAGAAGGGACAGCCCACCGCGGAACAAGACCGCCATCTGAAATTGAACCCATGAGACTGATGTTTAAAAAAATCCAAAAAACGAAAACAGTAGTTGCGAACTATCAAAAGCAGGAAACATACCAGCAGGCTTAGGTGGTGGCGGTGAGGCAGAAGGGAAGAACGATTGCGGAACAGGGAGGCTGTCGGGAATAGGACCCGTGAGATTGTTCTTCCGAAGATTCCTGTGTCGAGGTTTGTGATTGTGAAGGTAGAGATTGTGTAGTGGCAACTGTGGGTTTTACTAAGCAAGGCACACGTGAACTCAATGAAACGAGATCACAAGGTTGGTGCAGCAGAGATAAAGGAGTGGCCACGCGATGCAGACAGAAGGGGGGATGAGTGGGCATGCAGAGTGCATGGGCAGTGGAGGAGTGCCAGAAGTGATGCGCACATAGCATGTGCCATTCAGTGGGCAAAACAGCACGCAGATGGAGCAAACCCAGTGTGCCTCTTACAGATATCCGAGTGCCGTGAGCGCAGTGATACTGTCAGGAATGGAGCCCGTGAGACTGTTGCTGCTAAGATCCCTGTGTGGGTTGAGTGAGTTGCGCGTGGTAAGACGAGAAGCTCAAACGCTTGTCTACAGAGGGTGGCGGGAACCTGGAAGGCATGATACACTCAGAAGGGCTAGAGCCAGGCAACTGTCGAGGTTTGTGATGGTGAAGGTAGAGATTGTGTAGTGGCAACTGTGAGTTTTACTACGCAAGGAACACGTGAACTCAATGAAGAGAGACCACAAGGCTGGTGCAGCAGAGATAGAGGAGTGGCAACGCGATGCAGACAGAAGAAGGGGGGAGGAGTGGGCATTCAGAGTGCATGGGCAGTGGAGGAGTGCCAGATGTGATGCGCACATGGCATGCAGCACCCAGTGGGAAAAACAGCACACAGATGGAGCAAACCCAGTGTGCCTCTTACAACAATTCGAGTTCCTTCAGCGCAGAGATACTGTAAGGAATGGAGCCCGTGAGACTGTTGCTGCTAAGAAACCTGTGTGGGGTTGAGTGAGTTGCGCGTGATGAGAAGAGAGGGCATGGCAGGAGGAAAAGAAAGAAACACTCACGTGTGACTTCATGATACTCGTACATCTAGTACCTTGTGCATGCCTTGCAATGTGCTATGCTATAAACCAGAGTGCACAGTAGCAGTGCATGGAGCACACGATGTAGGTGAATGGGGAGTCTCCCAATGAATGCCACAGACATCTAATCCCCAAACGGCTTCAACTCCATTCCACTATATCACCAGCACAGCACACCGCCTCAATGAAACATGTGACTCGAGCCTGTCCACAGAGGGTGGCTGGAATTGTGAAGGCATAATCAGTTCGGAAGGGCTAGGGCAAGGCTACTGTAGCAGACTGCGATTTTCTAAGTTAAAATTGTGTAGTGGCAGTTGCATACTCTTCCGAAGCAGCAAAATCATGAAACTATTGAAGCACAGCAGCAGGGAGGGACACGGAGAGGCAAAGGGATGCAGACAAAAGAAAGGGGGAGGAGTGGGCATGCAGAGTGCATGGGCAGTGGAGGAGTGCCAAAAGTGATGCGCACATGGCATACAACACCCAGTGGGCAAAACAGCACGCAGGTGGAGCAAACCCATAATGCCTCTTACAGCCATGACAGATCCTTCAGCGCAGAGATGCTGTCGGGAATGGAGCCCATGAGACTGTTGCTGCGAAGATCCCTGTGTGGGTTGAGTGAGTAGCGCGTGGTAAGACGAGAGGCTCAAATGCTTGTCTACAGCGGGTGGCGGGAACCTGGAAGGCATGATATATTCAAAAGGGCTAGAGCGGCACGCAGGTGGTGCAAACCCAGTGTGCCGCTTACAGGCTTTTGAGTGCCGTGAGCGCAGAGATGCTGTCAGGAATGGAGCCCGTGAGACTGTTACCGCCAAGACTCCTGTATGGGGGTGAGTGAGTTGAGCGTGATGAGAAGAGAGGGCATGGCAGGAGTGGCAACGCGATGCAGACAAAAGAGGTGGAGGGAGTGGGCATGCGGTGTGCATATGCAGTGGAGGAGTGCCGGCAGTGATGCGCACATGGCATGCTCCGCCCAGTGGGCAGAGCAGCACGCAGGTGGTGCAAACCCAGTGTGCCACTTACAGGTGTTCGAGTGGCGTCAGCGCAGAGATGCTGTCGGGAATGGAGCTCGTAAGATCGTTCTCGCCAAAATACCTGTATGGGATGAGTGAGTTACGCGTGGTAAGACGAGAGGCTCGAATGCTTATCTACAGAGGGTGGCGGGGACCTGGAAGGCATGATATATTCAAAAGGGCTAGAGCCACGCAATTGTCGAGGTTTGTGATTGTGAAGGTAGAGATTGTGTAGTGGCAAGTGTGAGTTCTACTAAGCAAGGCACACGTGAACTCAATGAAGCGAGTCCACAAGGTTGGTGCAGCAGAGACGATCGAGGAATGGCAACGCGATGCAGACAGAAGTAGGGGGGAGGAGTGGGTATGCAGTGTGCATGGGCAGTGGAGGAGTGCCAGCAGTGATGTGCACATGGCATGCAGCATCCGGTGGGCAAGACAGCACGCAGGTGGAGCAAACCCATTATGCCTCTTACAACGATGTCAGATCCTTCAGCGCAGAGATGCTGTCGGGAATGGAGCCCGTGAGACTGCTGCCACCAAGATACCTGTGTGGGGTGAGTGAGTTGCGCGTGGTAAGACGAGAGGCTCAAATGCTTGTCTACAGAGGGAGGTGGGAACCTGGAAGGCATGATATATTCAAAAGAGCTAGAGCCAAAATTGTAGAGGTTTGTGATTGTGAAGGAAGAGATTGTGTAGTAGCAACTGTGAGTTCTACTGAGCAAGGCACCCGTGAACTCAATGAAGCTAGACCACAAGGTCGGTGCAGCAGAGACAAACGAGGAGTGGCAACGCGATGCAAACAGAAGTAGGGGGGAGGAGTGGGCATGCAGAGTGCATGGGCCGTGGAGGGGTGCCAGCAGTGATGCGCACATGGCATGCAGCACCCAGTGACCAGAGCAGCACGCAGGTGGTGCAAACCCAGTGTGCCGCTTACAAGTATTCGAGTGCCGTCAGCGCAGCGATGCTGTCGGGAATGGAGCCTGTGAGATTGTTGCGTTCGATATACCTGTGTGGGGTGAGTGAGTTGCGCATGGTAAGACGAGAGGCTCAAATGCTTGTCTACAAAGGGTGGCGGGAACCTGGAAGGCATGACATATTCAAAAGGGCTAGAGCTAGGCAATTGTCGAGGTTTGTGATTGTGAAGGTAGAGATTGTGTAGTGGCAACTGTGAGTTCTACTAAGCAAGGCACATGTGAACTCAATGAAGGGAGACCACAAGGTTGGAGCAGCAGAGACGATCGAGGAGTGGCAACGCGATGCAGACAGAAGAAGGGGGGAGGAGTGGGCATGCAGAGTGCATGGGCAGTGGAGGAGTGCCAACAGTGATGCGCACATGGCATGCAGCACCCGGTGGGCAAATCAGTACGCAAGTGGAGCAAACCCAGTGTGCCTCTTACAGCCATGTCAGATCCTTCAGCGCAGAGATGCTGTCGGGAATGGAGCCTGTGAGATTGTTATCGAAAAGATACCTGTGTGGGGTGAGTGAGTTGCGCGTGGTAAGACGAGAGGCTCAAATGCTTGTCTACAGAGGGTGGCGGGAACCTGGTAGGCATGATATATTCAGATTGGTTAGAGCCAGGCAATTGTCGAGGTTTGTGATTGTGAAGGTAGAGATTGTGTAGTGGCGACTGTGAGTTCTACTAAGCGAGGCACACGTGAACTCAATGAAGCGAGACCACAAGGTTGGGGGAGCAGAGACGATGGAGGAGTGGCAACACGCTGTAGACAGAAGTAGGGGGGAGGAGTGGGCATGCAGAGTGCATGGGCAGTGGAGGAGCGCCAGCAGTGATGCGCACATGGCATGCAACACCAGTGGGCAAAACAGCACGCAGGTGGAGCAAACCCATTATGCCTCTTACAAGTATCTGAGTGCCCTGAGCGCAGAGATGCTGTCGGGAATGGAGCCCGTGAGATTGTCGCTCCAAAAAGACCTGTGTGGGGTGAGTGAGTTGCGCGTGGTAAGACGAGAGGCTCAAATGCTTGTCTACAGAGGGTGGCGGGAACCTGGAAGGCATGATATATTCAAAAGGGCTAGAGCCAGGCAATTGTCGAGGTTTGTGATTGTGAAGGTAGAGATTGTGTAGTGGCAACTGTGAGTTCTACTAAGCAAGGCACACGTGAACTCAATGAAGCGAGACCACAAGGTTTGTGCAGCAGAGACGATCGAGGAGTGGCAACGCGATGCAGACAGAAGAAGGGGGGAGGAGTGGGCATGCAGAGTGCATGGGCAGTGGAGGATTGCCGACAGTGATGCCTGGCGTGGGGAATAAATAGCATCAGGGGAGGAACCTGGAGCAATGGAAGCAGCTGTGATGGGAGAAGTAGATTACGGGGGGAGAGAGAGGTGGGAGAGGTCGGGTTCGGAGCTGAGGGAAGCATCTGCGGCAGGCAGCAGATGGTGTGTGTGTCATGGAAGACGCACCTTTCCATCCAAGATATTAACGCGTGCACTCACATCGAGGTGATCATGCCTGAAGCGTCGCACAGGATAGATGCCGCAGTGCTGCATTTGTCTCCCACCTTCCACCCCATGCCCCATCCCGTCTTGACGTCGCTGAGAAACAACCCTGACGTGTTGGGGCGAGGAGAGGGCATAAGAAAAGTCGCGGAAGGAAATGAGTGACATGAGCACTCATGAGTAGCATGAGTGCATAAGATCCGAGGCATGCGTCGGAAGGAGAGGGGGAGAGGGGAAGGGGAAGGAGGGAGTGGGGAAGGGGGGGAAGAGGGAGGGAGGGAGTGGGGAAGGGGGGGAGGGAGGGAGGGAGGGAGTGGGGGAGGGAGGAGGGAGGGAGGAGGGAGGGAGGGAGTGGGGGAGGGAAGGGGGGGGGCAGGAGGGAGTGGGAGAGGTAGGGAGTGTGGGAGCGAGGGAGTGGGGGAGGGAGGGGGGAGGGGAGGGAGGGAGTGGGGGAAGGAGGGGGTGGGAGGGAGGAAGTGGAGGAGGGAGAGAGGGGGGACGGAGGGAGTGGGAGAGGGAGGGAAGAGGGTTGGAGGGAATTCGGGAGGGAGGAGGGAGCCACCTGAGTACTCCCTTAGGAGGGGAGGAATGGAGGGAGAGGTAACACTACTTCTACTGCCTCCCTAGTCGGGTATCGCTGAGCCAATAGTACTGTCACAGGTTGGAGGAGGTTGGGTGGGACGGTGAGCGGTGCTAGGATTACTACCTTGAGAAGCATTGATCACTTGCGCGTGGCAGGACGAGACGTTGAAGGCGACAAGCCAGAGCGCCATGGTGAGCGCTGGGGAGAGCGCGGCGGGGAGCGCCGCCTTCAAGGCAGAAAGCTGGTGGCATCGCTGGTGCTTCATCGCAGGCAGCCCGGGGGAAATAGCGGCTTGGCGCCGGACGCCTTGAGAATCCTTGACTCGTCAATCTCTAAAACCTCGAGCTGGCGGCTACTAGTAGTACTAGTAAGGTGTGACAACGGATCTGAGACACAGGGGGAGAGAAACACGTGTGAAGACACGTGAGAGACACGTGAGAATGCAAGCATTCACAGCCCGACCTGCTGCTGAGCTGGCGGCTACTAGTAGTACTAGTAAGGTGTGACAACGGATCTGAGACACAGGGGGAGAGAAACACGTGTGAAGACACGTGAGAGACAACGGATCTGAGACACAGGGGGAGAGAAACAGGTGAGAGCGCGCTGGATCAGGGCGTTCATTCGCCATGCTCTCACGCCTTGGCGCCAAGCGTGAGAGCGCGCTGGATCAGGGCGTTCATTCGCCATGCTCTCACGCCTTGGCGCCAAGCGTGAGAGCGCGCTGGATCAGGGCGTTCATTCGCCATGCTCTCACGCCTTGGCGCCAAGCGTGAGAGCGCGCTGGATCAGGGCGTTCATTCGCCATGCTCTCACGCCTTGGCGCCAAGCGTGAGAGCGCGCTGGATCAGGGCATTCATTCGCCATGCTCTCACGCCTTGGCGCCAAGCGTGAGAGCGCACTGGATCAGGGCGTTCATTCGCCATGCTCTCACGCCTTGGCGCCAAGCGCGAGAGCGCGCTGGATCAGGGCGTTCATTCGCCATGCTCTCACGCCTTGGCGCCAAGCGTGAGAGCGCGCTGGATCAGGGCGTTCATTCGCCATGCTCTCACGCCTTGGCGCCAAGCGTGAGAGCGCGCTGGATCAGGGCGTTCATTCGCCATGCTCTCACGCCTTGGCGCCAAGCGTGAGAGCGCGCTGGATCAGGGCGTTCATTCGCCATGCTCTCACGCCTTGGCGCCAAGCGTGAGAGCGCGCTGGATCAGGGCATTCATTCGCCATGCTCTCACGCCTTGGCGCCAAGCGTGAGAGCGCACTGGATCAGGGCGTTCATTCGCCATGCTCTCACGCCTTGGCGCCAAGCGCGAGAGCGCGCTGGATCAGGGCGTTCATTCGCCATGCTCTCACGCCTTGGCGCCAAGCGTGAGAGCGCGCTGGATCAGGGCGTTCATTCGCCATGCTCTCACGCCTTGGCGCCAAGCGTGAGAGCGCGCTGGATCAGGGCGTTCATTCGCCATGCTCTCACGCCTTGGCGCCAAGCGTGAGAGCGCGCTGGATCAGGGCGTTCATTCGCCATGCTCTCACGCCTTGGCGCCAAGCGTGAGAGCGCGCTGGATCAGGGCATTCATTCGCCATGCTCTCACGCCTTGGCGCCAAGCGTGAGAGCGCACTGGATCAGGGCGTTCATTCGCCATGCTCTCACGCCTTGGCGCCAAGCGCGAGAGCGCACTGGATCAGGGCGTTCATTCGCCATGCTCTCACGCCTTGGCGCCAAGCGCGAGAGCGCGCTGGATCAGGGCGTTCATTCGCCATGCTCTCACGCCTTGGCGCCAAGCGTGAGAGCGCGCTGGATCAGGGCGTTCATTCGCCATGCTCTCACGCCTTGGCGCCAAGCGTGAGAGCGCGCTGGATCAGGGCGTTCATTCGCCATGCTCTCACGCCTTGGCGCCAAGCGTGAGAGCGCGCTGGATCAGGGCGTTCATTCGCCATGCTCTCACGCCTTGGCGCCAAGCGTGAGAGCGCGCTGGATCAGGGCGTTCATTCGCCATGCTCTCACGCCGTGGCTCCAAGCGTGAGAGCGCGCTGGATCAGGGCGTTCATTCGCCATGCTCTCACGCCGTGGCTCCAAGCGTGAGAGCGCGCTGGATCAGGGCGTTCATTCGCCATGCTCTCACGCCTTGGCGCCAAGCGTGAGAGCGCGCTGGATCAGGGCGTTCATTCGCCATGCTCTCACGCCTTGGCGCCAAGCGTGAGAGCGCGCTGGATCAGGGCGTTCATTCGCCATGCTCTCACGCCTTGGCGCCAAGCGCGAGAGCGCGCTGGATCAGGGCGTTCATTCGCCATGCTCTCACGCCTTGGCGCCAAGCGTGAGAGCGCGCTGGATCAGGGCGTTCATTCGCCATGCTCTCACGCCTTGGCGCCAAGCGTGAGAGCGCGCTGGATCAGGGCGTTCATTCGCCATGCTCTCACGCCTTGGCGCCAAGCGTGAGAGCGCGCTGGATCAGGGCGTTCATTCGCCATGCTCTCACGCCTTGGCGCCAAGCGTGAGAGCGCGCTGGATCAGGGCGTTCATTCGCCATGCTCTCACGCCTTGGCGCAAAGCGTGAGAGCGCGCTGGATCAGGGCGTTCATTCGCCATGCTCTCACGCCTTGGCGCAAAGCGTGAGAGCGCGCTGGATCAGGGCGTTCATTCGCCATGCTCTCACGCCTTGGCGCCAAGCGTGAGAGCGCGCTGGATCAGGGCGTTCATTCGCCATGCTCTCACGCCTTGGCGCCAAGCGTGAGAGAATGCTTGGCATGATGCGGCCAACACGACCTTGAACCGAGTCGCCGTTTCCCTACTGGATTTTGGTGGCAGGGCTTACCTTGGAAGTGGGGTGTGTGTCGGATTCCTGTCTCAAAGGAGGACGTAGCAACTCTACAATTGCCAAGGAGCTAATCGATCAAGTGAATGAAATACGAGTGCGTGGGGTGCTTTTCCTCTGTTGCACGTTCTATACATTCAATTAGAAGACAAACAGCGCATACATGTGAATGTACACAACAGATTATTGGTGGAAACACCTGGCACTATTTGGACATGTGTGCATATCTGCCTGAAAGTTTAAGATCTTGAATGTTGGCTCTGTTTTGTAGGCACATGCCCGGGGGAGGGGGGGGGGGGGGGGGGGGGGGAGAGAGGGGGGCGAAGGTAAATGACGCGGGTTCCTACGCAGTTTCTCATGTCGAAATCACCCCCTTCCCGCTATAGCCGTGAACGAGAAATTTCGTCATCAAGGCGTGTTCGCCAGCACTTTTAACAACAAAAATGACGAGATTAGGAAGGTCAGTCTTGGCTTCCTGATCCCGTCCGTCAGAGTTCGTTAGGGTCCGTCAGGCAGGACGGCTCGCGAAATTCTTGCCGAACCTATGATTCCGTCCGAACCAAACAGAATCATGTTGGCCTGTCGAACGCCCTCTTTTTCATTAATTTCAAATGGAATTGTGAGGATAGGAAAGTGGGTTGGGAGCTTCCTCTACAGGCAAACGCAAATCATGTCGCCATTCCATCGCCATTCATCCCCCCTACCAGAATCGCATTGGGATGGCCATGGGATTGGAAGGGTGTAAAGGGTGGGGACGGGGATTTGGAAGATGGGGAGGGTGGTTCCTGTTGTCAAAATGAGGAATGAATGTTCCATTGATGTTGGTTGGGTTACATATAACAAACCCTAACTTCTGTACCCCCTAAGACAATCCTCACTACAGGCTACAACATTTGACACACCCCCATAGCCTAAGTGAGGGGTGTCTAGCAAAATCAAAAAAGAGTACGGTCACAAGACCAGTCCAAAAGAAAACAAAGCTCAGGGTGGATCACAACGTCACCACACACTCTGAGCACAAGCAACAATGGCCACAAGGCCAGTCCAAGAGATCACAAGTATATATAGCAAGTGTACAGACGAAGCAGGCAATAAACTCAAGTCTACACATGACTAGAACCTGTGTCAACAAGGCCTAACTGCACACAACACCTCTGGTGGTCACAAGGCGGAAGCGCCTTGGTGAAAATGTCTGCAGTGTTGGCCTCGGACTCCACGAACTCGAAGCGAGCCTGTCCACGTCTCTGCAACTCTCGCAGAAGAAAGTACCTGACGTGAATGTGCTTCACTCTGCTCTCCAGTCGCGGCTCACGACAGAGGAAGATCGACGCCTTGTTGTCAGTAAACAAGGTCGGTGCAGAGCTCGGCCGCTCACCAAGGTCGGCGAGCAAGAAGGTCAACCACCGCAACTCCTGTGCCGCCATGGCACCAGCGTAAATCTCAGCCTCAGCTGTAGAGGTCGAGACAGAAGAGGAGCGCGTGGAACGCCAGGAAACAGCTCCAGAACCCAGACTGAAACAGTACCCCTGAGTAGACCTGTGAGTCTCAGCGTCGTCAGCGTAAGAGGAGTCACAGTGACCAGTGAGTACGACAGACTGCTGCCCTCCAAGAACTAGCCCCACGCCTGATGTAGTCACTAGGTACTTCGCCACCCTCACAGCTGCCGTCCAGTGAACAGGACGGTGTCTCCCTGGCGCAACAAAGCGCGCAAGGATGCTGAGAGGGAAGGCGAGGTCCGGGCGAGTACAAGTCATCAGGTACATGAGGCAACCCACAAGCTCTGCGTAGGGACCACTAGGCTCAAACGGCTCGTCAGGAAAGGGACCAGTGAGTCTGTGGTCAACAGCGAGAGGTGTGCGCTGTACGGTGGAGTGCTGAAGTCCGAACCGCTGAAGGACCTGCTGCACCATGTGTGACTGTGAGAGTGTAATGGTGCGAGCGGCTCTGTCCCTGGTGATCTGCAGGCCAAGGTAGTGGCGCAGCTCACCAAGATCAGTGCACGTGTGTCTCTTCTGCAGTTCGGACTTCACGTCTGCCAAAGCAACCCTGTCCGGAGTGGCGAAAACGAGGTCGTCGACGTAGACCAGAACAAAGAACGGTGTGGAGCCACGACGAACGAACAGCGACGGGTCGGCAGAAGACGGCTGGAACCCAAGGTCAGAGAGGGTAGAACGCAGAGTGTCGTGCTACTCACGAGGGGCCTGGCGAAGACCGTAAACAGGTCGCCTCAGCCTCCACTGGGTCCCAGGAGGGAAAGTGCCAGTGAAGGCCGAGGGACGACGCAACCAGACCTCCTCGTGTAGGCTGCCCTGAAGGAAAGCAGTGGAGAAGTCGAGAGAGTGTAGCTCGTAGTCTCTCTGTGCTGCTACGTGTAGTAACACCCGAAGAGTGGTCATCTTCGGGGTAGGTGCGAAGGTCTGAAAGAAGTCAACTCCCTCGCGCTGACTGAAACCTCTAGCCACGT